CAACCCATCAAGTCTACCATTATTACTGTTATTGACTCGGCTGCCTCGTTGTCAGCTGATCGTTTTGATGCAGTGGCTGAACAGACTTCAGAAATCTGTTGGTTTCGGAGTACTCCAGCTGTTGAATGTACATGACGATCATCATGGGTTTAGTGTGGGCCTAGTGTGGGTTTAGTGATGCCTTCCCTGCCTGGTCACTATGACTTATTGCTTGCTGGGCTGACCCAGCAATATTGATTGATTGATTCCTTCTGAGCACTCAATTCTTGCAGGTTCTGCCAACTCCTCCCACTACAGGACACTGTATATAGTTGAATCATGTACTTGTAAAATGCTTGTCCAGCTGGTTCCTGAATGACTGTATCGTACTGACACTTACAAATAATCGGTAGTTTATTCCATTCTCCTATTATTCTGTAAAAAAAAAATAAATACATTCGTTTTGCATCTTCTGCCTCGCAGTTTCATTCTTTTGTTTTGAGTCATGGACTCATTCAGCACTTCAAATAGTTCTTCATGTTGCAGTGTGCAGAAAGCTTTCAATATTTTAAACTTTAAATGGAAAATCCTCGTAGTGTCGGCTCCCTACGGGGAAAAAGAGGGTAGAGTGCTTTAAGTTATTCTTTATAAGGTTTGTTTGTGAGTGATGTTACGAGTCTGGTAACTCTTCTCCGCCGTATCCTCTACACCATAGCTTCGCTTTTTACGTAATATGGAGACCAAACCTGGACGGCATATTCAGGAAGGCGTTTAATAAGTGCTTTACGGAGAGTCAATATAGTGTGTGGTGTTCGGTGTTGGCAGTTTATAGTTATTAAACCCACTGTACCTTACTGTCTAGGCATGCAAGAGGCCTTCTTTGTAATTAATATTTTATAATATGTAAACCAGACATTGTAAGCTTTACAAAGAAATTAATATTTTCATTTTCATGATGCTCACAGGTAAATATTACTTGGTACCACTGTGATCGTTGCTAATGATTACTCCAAGGTCTTTTTCTTCTCTTGTCTCGGGTAGTTTGTTACCAAAGATTTTGCCTTCATGTGAGATACTGTTACACCCAAAATACATCACACTGTACCAGTCAGCGTTGAAACTCACCTTCCACGTCTCCGACCACAGCGTCGACCTGTCATGATCATTCTGACTACTCCAACATTCTACTTTGGATGCTGCTCCTTTTCTAAATTTGGTGTCATTTGCCAATTTTGCTATCATAGATGTTAGCCTTAACTCAAATCATATATGTACCACTCCTCGCTCTGAACCAGTCAGTTATCCAGACTTGAAGCTGGGATAGCTTAACTGAGATCTTCTGGGAATCTAGATATACTACATCTCCTGGGACGTTTTCATCCCAGTTGTTGTATATGTAATTGGAAAATTCGAAGTAAGTTAGTCAAGCATGATATTTCGTTGAATAATCCATGCAACAGAAAGAAAGAGAGAGAGAGAGAGAGAGAGAGAGAGAGAGAGAGAGAGAGAGAGAGAGAGAGAGAGAGAGAGAAAGAGAGAGAGAGAGAGAGAGAGAGAGAGAGAGTCACTCTGGCTGTACCCTTCTCCAGAACATCACTTCATTTGAGATCATTTACTCCCAGGATGACTCGAGTGTGGAACACATTCGTACACCATTATGATGTCAACGAGATAAAGTCAGCTGATCAGATGAAAATGCTGCCCACAGATGGCTCCAATTTCATCCTGTTCCTTACTTGTATGTTTCATAACAATAAAAATACTTGTATGTCTCATAACAATAAAAATGCCTTCAAATAAGCTGATGTAGGTAACAGCTCTTAGCTTGTCAATAAAGTTAGGAATCCTTAACCTGTAAATAGCTTGTCAATAAAGCTAAGGATACTTAACCTAACCTTGTCAAACCCTGTGTAAAAGAGAGAGAGAGAGAGAGAGAGAGAGAGAGAGAGAGAGAGAGAGAGAGAGAGAAGAAAGAAATAGAGGTAGAGGAATCAAAAACATCTGAAATTTATTTTCAAAATGTTGACAATTGCTACACAGTTAAGAAACTGGTTACGTAGAACATCTCGGGTACACTCAGGGACAAAGAGAGAAAAATATTTACGTTACCTCTTTAATTTTGGTAATAATCTTAATTAATGGATTAGTAAGATATTGGAAAACCTTTTATGTCGTTAATTACGCTGTGCACACACACACAGCTGCAGCCTCTCGTGTCACCGGTAAGCACCTTATTAATTAATCATCGCCGGCTTCCTCCTATAAATAATGTTTATCGTATGTAGGATGTTAATTGCCTCTGAAGATGTCTTAACAACAGACACCTCTGTAAGAACTTGCCTTGAGTCACAGTTGGTTATTATGCTGATGTTCCAAGGACTCCAGTCTGTGGCAGGTTGAATCATCTGACTGTATTATGTATTACGAAGGAAGAATTCTTTTCCACTTCACCATGGAGATAAGAGGGGATATATAATAACAAGAACTAGTAAGAAAATAGGAGAAAACCAATACTTGTACATGCATGTGCAGCGTGACCTAAGTGTAAGTAGAAGTACCAAGATGTACCTGAAAACTTGCATGTTTATGAAGATGAGAGAAATCTAACAAAAATCCGAAGAGACGCTGAAGAACCATTGTTTGTACAGGATCTGTCTCTTGCTCAGAGAGTGGCAGCTCTTGAAAAAAAAAGAGAAAGCAAAAAAAGAAATCCTAAAACCACTGCACAACGAGTCGTCTTTCTTTGAGTCGTCTTTCAAAATCAAGGTGAACAACGCTCTACAGATGATACACTTTCAAGACCGTCGCCACATTCCCCTCGCTCAGTGAGATCCAGGTCGGCGCGACACACTGGATCCCGCTGACAACAACAAAAATGGCAGAAAAAGAGCGGAAGGTTGTAAAGGGGAAAATAGAGGAGGAAGAAATCGTCCGAACGATGCAAATAGTAAGAGAGAGGAAGAAGAAGCATTCTCGTACTCTGACTTTGCTACAACCACCTACACTGTCGACCAGTGTTTGGGGAGAACCAAGTGAGGTTCTCCTTTCATCCCATCCCTCTCTCTCATCCTCCCCTCAAAAAACGCCAGACCAAGAATATTTTAAAACCTTAGCCTTAGAGAGGACTGTGGTGAGTGACCAGTGGGTGGAATGTTCTGCATCTGAAACAGCTCTCAGCCTGGGCCAAAACCTCGAAAAATTAACTTTCAGCCGAGCCCCCATGAAGCATAATCGCGAAGCACAGCCGTGAAGCGGAGCCGTGAAGCACAGCCTTCAAGAGCAGTCGTAAAGCTCATTTGCTCGAACTGACTTCAGGTAACCTCTTATCTGACCAAGGTACTTTTTGATTCACTTGAGAACACGTCCTGTTACTCCTGTCCACACTTCAAGTTTTTGCCCTGGTCACTTAATAAGGAGCAGCATTAAATGCCGCTCTGTATAAAAATACAGTCCATCTATCCCCCCTTTCTCTCTCTCTACCCTGTCTCACATCTGTTACGTTATCACAGAACTCCAACAGGTTGGTAAGACAAGATTTACCATCTAAGAACCCGTGCTAGTTATTGTTAATGAAACTACTTCTCTCCAAGTGTTCTGCCACTCTCCTGAGGATTTTCTTCCTTACCATGCATGGTATGCATGAGAGTGATGCTGATCTGGAATTCAACGCATCCTGTTTCTCTTAAATATGGAGGCTACATTCGTCCTCTTCCATATCTCTGGCACCTGTCCCGTGTCCATCGTAACTAATGGTTCAGACAGTGTTTCTGTTCCGTAAAGAAGGAAAAGGTACATTACCGTGACTGGGAGAATACACAAATAACCCGCACACAGGAGAATGAATCTTATGACGACGTTAAAGTCCGACTTGGACCGAGTGACCAGTTAATCGTCCAAATCTGATCATAACGTCGTCATATGTTCCATTCTTCTATGTTCGGATTATTTGCGTAATATGTTCCTTCTCGCAGTATCGTTGGTGATACTTTGTCAGGTTCCATTACCTTTAATGTATCAAACTCAAAAGATTTTATTAATCTCTTCCCTCCATGTTGTCGTCTGGTGACCTGTAGCTGTTGCTGTGTCCTTTCCGGTGTTGTCTCTGTTTCCACTCAGATTTCTTATTCGTTAGTTTCAGCACCTCGCGGACTTTCTCGTCGACACTCATGAGATCTCCTCCTTCCTTCTTCAGTCGAATTACCTGGTCATTCACTGTCCTCTTTCTTTTGATGTGGCAGTGAAGCAGTACTGGTGCAAACTTGGCCTTGGTTGCTATCTCACTCTCAAATATCGCTCACCCTCCCCCTCCTCAGTCTTTCATATTCGTTTTTGGCTCTTTTGTAACTTCTCTATTTCCGTCTTTCCATCGCTGTCAATAGTTTTTCTACGCTCTCATGCTTTTCTGTTTTTACCCCTTCCCCTCTCCTCATCTTCGGTTGAACCACGAGCTCTCTTTGTCTCTTCTGTTTCCAAATTCTTCTTCTGGGTAGGACGTTTTCCTCTGCCTCCCAGCACCTTCCAGCTAGGTGCTCCATCATCTCATTCGTTGCGTTTCCTCCCATTTCCTTTTCCCACCGCACGGCATTCAAGAATTCTCTCATGTGTGCTGAAGGAAGAGAGAGAGAGAGAGAAGAGAGAGAGAGAGAGAGAGAGAGAGAGAGAGAGAGAGAGAGAGAGAGAGAGAGAGAGAGAGAGAGAGAAAGGTGAACTTTGTTTTCGTCTATGTAGTTTTTGAGAGAGCAGCCGGGGTGATTGCTGGGGTGATAACAGTGATTGGAGGGGATCTGGGGAGCTCTAGCCCGCCAGGGTGAGATTGGTTATGTGAGGGAGAGCTTAGAGTTGGAGGGGGAGGCATGGGAATAAGGGGTATGGTGAGATACCTCTCATCTCTCGCCTATCTACCATAGGCGTAGAGATGAACTACCTAGGGATGCTAGTGGGTCTCTCATCTCATACAGACAATAGTGATATAGATGAACCGTCTTGGTATGTTTGTGAATCTCTTATCTCTCTTCCCACAGACGGTAGTGAGAGAGATGAACCGTCTTGGGATGCTGGTGGATCTCTCCCACGTGTCTCAAGCCACCATGAAGAAGGCGCTGGAGGTGTCGCGAGCTCCCGTCATCTTCAGTCACTCCTCCGTCTACGCTATCTGCAAGAACCCCAGAAACGTCCCCGACGACATTCTGAAGATGGTGGTGAGTAGTGTTGGTGAGAGAGAGAGAAAGAGAGAAAGAGAGAGAGAGAGAAAGAGAGAGAGAGGAAGGTTGGCACTGGAAATGTGTTGGGCAAATATTTTTCTTAGTGGGTCTGTGTTTGAGAAGAACGTACCTAGCGTGGGCCAGTAGGCCTGGTGGAGTGTTTCACCTTTCTTATATTCTTATGTCGTGCCGAATAAGCATAGTGAAAAATTTGTTTTTGTCATAAATACGCGAAAACCAATGAGGTGGTTTGGTCATTTAGAGAGAATGGATCAAAGTAGAATGACTTGGAGAGCGTATAAATCTGTAGGGGAAGGAAGGCGGGGTAGGGGTCGTCCTCGAAAAGGTTGGAGGGAGGGGGTAAAGGAGGTTTTGTGGGCGAGGGGCTTGGACGTCCCGCAAGAGTATGTAAGCGTGTTACATAGGAGTGAATGGAGACAAATGGTATTTGGGACCTGACGAGCTGTTGGAGTGTGAGCAGGGCAATATTTAGTGAAGGAATTTAGGGAAACCGGTTAACTGGACTTGAGTCCTAGAAATGGGAAGTACAATGTCTGCACTATAAAGGAGGGGTTTGGGATATTGACAGTTTGGAGGGACTTCTAAATTGTCGTATCTGAGTGTCTCTGCAAAGACAGTGATTATGTATGAGTGATGTGAAAGTTTTGAATGATGATGAAAGTATTTTCTTTTTGGGGATTTTCCTTCTTTTTGGGTCACCCTGCCTTAGTATGAGACGGCCGACTTGTTGAATATATATATATGTATGTCGTGCCGAATATGTAAAACTGGTCAATTAGCAAGAACTCATTTAAAATTAAGTCTTTTCTAAAATTTTCTCTTGTACGTTTAAAGATATATTTTTTCATTAATGTTAATGTAAAAAATTCTAATTTTGCACCAAAAGAATCTTAGAAAACTTACCTAACCTTATTATAACAGGTGCACTTTATTTAAGCTTAACTCAACTAAATATATTTTAGATTTGTTTACAATAATTTAATACTAAACAAACACAATGAAATATATTTTTTTCGTTAGGTTCAGAATAAATTTGACGAAATTATTGCATACACAAATTTTCACTTGTCCTGTATGGCAAGATGAGCGTTGCTATTTAAGCCAAGATCGCAAGTTCTGCCTATTCCGCACGACATATATATATATATATATATATATATATATATATATATATTATATTATAATATATATATATATATATATATATGTATAATATATATATATATATATATTAATATATATACATATATTATATATATTATATATATATATATATAGTATATATATATATATTATATATACATATATATTTATATATATATATATATATTACATATATATATATATATATATTTATATATATAATATATATATATTATATATTATATATATATATATATATAAAAACATATTAATCATTGGTCAACATGTCACTCTAATTCTGAATTTTCTTTTATCATTGCGATTCGCTAAAAAAATATTCCCACTAATTGTCCCACTCGTGACTGACCTAAATATTAAAATCATTCTGTCTCTCCTTCATTATCATTCAGATTATCATATTAATGTCTTCCCCGTCCGTCAGGGACTCAGAAATAATCACCTGAACTCTTCCACCTTCCCCTCATCATCGGATTAGATATAATGTCATTCGTAATCACTCACCTAGCAATTCGACAGTTCTGGTCGATTATGATTCGACCTGAGGACGATGGACTAATTATCCATTGGTCCTCGGGTCGACGTAACGAGGTAGAATTTGTGTTCCTTCAGTAAGGGATTTTTACTGAAGATGATCTATTTAAGAGAGTTTATATGAGTGTTGTGACTGGTACTTGCAGTGATGACCCACTGCTGAGCCGGACCTGCCCCCAGCAACTTCCTCCAGCCTGTTTTCGTAACCCCAATAACTACCCCCAGAAACCTGTCCGTAAGATCTTATTTTCCTCAGATAAGACCACAGCCCGATGACACCTCGTTAGTTCTTGAATTTGTCCTCCCTCTATCCCCCCCCTTCTCACTTCTTCTCATCCAGCTCCCTTGTGATTCTCTGCCCTCTCCTCTCCCTCTCCCCCCCCTCTCTCTCCCCTCTCTCTCTCTTCTCTCTCTCTCTCTCTCTCTCTCTCTCTATGTACTTTCATGTTCAAGAGTCCTCTCCGTGCCCCTAGAGCATCCACACCTCTTTGTGAATTTGAATTTTAACTAAAAATCTCTATGCTATTGGACGTAAAGAAAACCAATAGGAAAGAAGAAGTTTTGACCCACGTTCCTCTGTTTTGTGATTGGACAGACAGGCAACCAATGGAGAAAAAAAAACGATATTTTTAAACACTAACCTCTAAATCTTCCTGATTGGCCAGTCGATAAATAGGAGCATGTAGTCGTTTATTTTAAATAACAATCCTTCATCCTGATTGTCCAGTTTGGTAATGTGGGCGTCACTAATTTCAAATAACTATCTGTCCTTCTTCCTGATTGGCCAGGCGAGCAATGGAGGCGTGGTGATGGTCAGTTTCTACAACTATTTCCTCACCTGCAGCAAGGAGGCCACCATCAGCAACGTTATAGGTGAGTTAGGAGGTGGGGAGGGAGGCTGTGTGTGTGGGGAGGGAGGTTGTGTGGGTGGGGAGGGAGGCGTGTGTGGGTGGGGAGGGAGGCTGTGTGGGTGGGGGAGGGAGGCTGTGTGGGTGGGGAGGGAGGTTGTGTGGGTGGGGAGGGAGGCTGAGTGGGTGGGAGGGAGGTTGTGTGGGTGGGGAGGGAGGCTGTGTGGGTGGGGAGGGAGGCTGTGTGGGTGGGGAGGGGGGTTGTGTGGGTGGGGAGGGAGGTTGTGTGGGTGGGGAGGGAGGCTGTGTGGGTGGGGAGGGAGATTGTGTGGGTGGGGAGGGAGGTTGTGTGGGTGGGGAGGGAGGTTGTGTGGGTCGGGAGGGAGGTTGTGTGGGTGGGGAGGGAGGTTGTGTGGGTGGGGAGGGAGGCTGTGTGGGTGGGGAGGGAGATTGTGTGGGTGGGGAGGGAGGTTGTGTGGGGGGAGGGGGGTTGTGTGGGTGGGGAGGGAGGCTGTGTGGGTGGGGAGGGAGGCTGTGTGGGTGGGGAGGGAGGTTGTGTGGTGTGGGAGGTTGTGTGGGTGGGGAGGGAGGTGTGTGGGTGGGGAGGGAGGTTGTGTGGGTGGGGAGGGAGGTTGTGTGGGTGGGGAGGGAGATTGTGTGGGTGGGGAGGGAGATTGTGTGGGTGGGGAGGGAGGCTGTGTGGGTGGGGAGGGAGGTTGTGTAGGTGGGGAGGGAGGTTGTGTGGGTGGGAGGGAGATTGTGTGGGTGGGGAGGGAGATTGTGTGGGTGGGGAGGGAGGCTGTGTGGGTGGGGGGGAGATTGTGTGGGTGGGGGGTGAGGTTGTGTGGGGGGAGGGAGGTTGTGTGGGTGGGGAGGGAGATTGTGTGGGTGGGGAGAGAGGTTGTGTGGGTTGGGGAGGGAGGTTGTGTGGGTGGGGAGGGAGATTTGTGGTTGGTTGTGGGGTGGGAGGGAGATTGTGTGGGTTGGGGAGGCAGGAGAGGGAGAGGAACGGGAGTGGGGAAAGAGAAAAGTGATGAACTGAAAAGATGTGAAGAGGGAGGGACACAGGGAAAGAGATAGATAGATAGAAAGATAGATAGATAGATGAGAGAGAGAGAGAGAGAGGAGAGGAGAGAGAGAGAGAGGAGAGAGAGAGAGAGAGAGAGAGAGAGAGAGGAGAGAGAGAGAGAGAGAGCCAATCGATTGACGGGGGATGAAACGTTTTCGAAATATAGTGAGAATGAAGAGGAAACAGATGATGATGATGGGAAGGAACGAGGCAGAAGTAAAGGAGGAGGAGGAGGAGAAATTGGAGAATGAGTAAGAAAATGAGGAGGATGAAGGTAAGATCAAGGAAGATGATGGATGAGAAGGAGGAGGAGGAAGATGAAAATGATGATGAAATAGAGGAAAATTATGAATTAGAAAAAATATAAAGATAAGAAAGAGACGGAAGAAGAAAAAAAGCAGAAAGAAGAATTAAGAAGAAAAGAAGCAAGGGGGAAAGACAGAGGGATAACTGAAGGAAGAATTAACATGCATCTAAGAAGGTCCTTGAAAGACGTCATTAGCCGAGTCATTAGCAAGCCTTGTCTTGCAGGGACGCCGGTGTCAATCACCTAACAGTCCTTAATTAGTTAATTAACGACCTATTTGTGTGTATCGAATCCGGAGGTAATTAAGCAGGCCAAGCCTTGGCGTCAGGTGATTAATTAATAATAATAGGTAAGTCTTGGGGCCGTGCAGGTGCTAAGAATGTATTGTGCTGTGTGTACTACCAGTACTCTCTCTCTCTCTCTCTCTCTCTCTCTACAGTCATCACCACGATTACCACCACCACTATCATCACCACCATCACCTTGATGTTGAATGATTCGCCGGTACATATCCCGGCCCGAGTCTTTCCTCATCATCAATACCTTCTCTGGCCCGCACTGTCTTTCTTTCTCTCCCTCACAGAACACATCAACCACGTCAGGAAGGTGGCCGGTGTCGACCACGTTGGAATCGGCGCCGACTTTGACGGCATTAACATGTAAGCATTTGGATCCAAATGTCATACCACCAACCATAGCCAAGAACCCCTGTTTTCCTTCTCCCTCCTGCCCCTCCCACACACACGTTTCTCAACAGCATTTACTGGGACAACATTTCGTTCTGTGTAGAGCTCTGAAAGAGCGAAACGTGGCCGCAGTAACGGCTTGTTCTGCAACGTGCGTCTTTTCCTCAACAGGTCCACACTGTTCCACCTCGCCCGAAACAGGTGTCGTGAACCCGGGTTCATTCATCACTGTTAGCTTGTCCATTCCTATTCATTAAAAACATCCCACTGCCTGACATTATACATCAAATCTAAAATAAGCAGTTGCTAAAATAAGGCTAGAATAAGGCATTAGAATTTACTATTGTTTCTGCTAGCCATGATAACTATTTCCACCCACGGTATTGTAGGCTAGTTGTGACTTGCTCCACCCACGGTATTGTGAGCTAGTTGTGACTTGTTGCACCCACGGTATTGTATCTTTCATTTCCCTTAAAATATCTGTCTAAGCGATCATCACTAACATACTTCTTCTCCACCCCTTAACTATCCCAGGCTGCCGGAAGGGCTAGGGGACGTTTCGGGCTATCCACGACTATTTGCAGAGCTGTTGTCGGAACCCAGCTGGACCGTACAAGACCTGAAGAAGCTGGCAGGACATAACCTGCTGCGGGTGATGCGGGAGGCTGAGAAGGTGGGTGGTGATGACTGTCATCTCTCTCTCTCTCTTTCTCTCTCCCACTCTCTCTTTCTCTCTCCCACTCTCTCTTTCTCTCTCCCACTCTCTCTTTCTCTCTCCCACTCTCTCTTATACAGAACAAGATGTCACCTTCCTTGCTCATGACACCGCGGTGATGAACGGTCAAAGTTGCAAAGTTTGTTCAGATCATTTCGAGCACCATCTCATGATGCAGAGGAACAACGAGGTCTCTTTACTTCATCTCCTCCTTCACGTCTTCTTCTTCTTCGTTGTCGTCCTCTTCTCCTCTTCCTCCTACTCTTACTGGTCCTCTTCCTCCTCCTCCTCCTCCTCCTTCTCCTCCCTCCTCTTATCTTCATGACAGTGGGCCTTTCCATTGTGAAATTCCGCATTTATAAGCATTTCTCTGGGCCATTTGAAGAGCATTAAAGGAGGTGCTTCTCAGAGTTGGTCTCGCTCCTAGGTGTAGTTGGTCTTGTTCCTAGGTGTAGCTGGTTTTGTTCCTAGGTGTAGTTGGTCTCACTCCTAGGTGTAGTTGGTCTCGCTCCTAGGTGTAGTAAGTCTCGCTCCTAGGTGCAGTTGTCGTTCCTAGGTTCACTTCATGTGCTCATCTCAAAGGTTTTATATGCAGGTAATGATAATGTGCAAGTCCTGGAGGTGCTGGAAGGGAGGGAGGAAGGGAGGGAGGGAAGGGAGGGAGGGAAGGAGGGAAAAAAGGGAAGGAAGAGCGGAAGGAGGGAGGGAAGATGGCAAGACATATGTGGGTAATTATCTAGTGTAAACAAGGGATCATGTGGGCTCGATCCAATGTTGCCCCAAACTGCTGTGTCCTCGCCCTCCCTGTGGAACACCCTCTACTGTTACTTATTATTATTATTATTATTATTATTATTATTACTTCTACTACTACTACTATTATATTAAAACCAAGCGCTAAAGCCATGTGGGCGATGTAGCGTTGCTTGCCAGGGGGTGGACTCTAGTTCCTGGGCCTGTTTGATGTGACCGTACTAGTTGTGCAGTTACTTGTGATCATCTCTAAGCTGTCAGCATGATGCTGCTCTCTTTATCATACTTCCTTACTTACTGAATATCTGACCAAACTATGACTACAAATATTAAGAGTTATTCAGTTCTTGAAGAGGTGGTTGACCAGGCTGTTGCTGTCAGCGCATTATATACTTAGTCATTACAAACTGTCTGATATCTCTGTAATTAGTTGTCCGAAATCCACGGGAAAACTATACCTGTTGCGACTGTATTTCTGATATCTACTGGTAGCAGGTTGAAGAGTCTTGGACCACGCATGTTGACCACGGTGTTTTCCTACTGTGCTGGAGATCCATGTGGCATACGCAGTGTTACTGAGTGTTCCCTTCCTTTCTCTGCTTGTATATTCCTCGTGGTATTTTGTTGTTGTCATGTCTCCCCTTGTAGTTTGGTCCTCCAGTGAAAACAGACGTGTAGTTCAGGCAAGCTGATAGCTTATGCATCTCAAATTACGCACTACTTCTGATGCTTACCTTTGGTCCATCCTGAGTTTCGAAAAAAACTGAATTATTTAGTCACCCGCTTCGGTGGGATACGGCGGGTGTGTTGAAAGAAAGATATTATATATATAATATATATATATATCTATATATATATATATTATATATTCTATATATATATATATATATATTTATAAAATATACTTTTTATATATATATATATTATTCCGGACTTCGAGTCTGGAAATGGGAAGTACAATGCCTGTACTTTAAAGGAGGGGTTGGGATATGACAGTTTGGAGGAACATCTAAAACTGTAAAAGAAGGAAAATTCAAAAGTGAATAAGGGAAAGTGTAAGGTTATGAGGATAACAAAAAGATTAGGTGGACGAAAGACTGGATATCAGATTGGAGGGAGAGAGTATGGAGGAGGTGACTGTATTAATTATATTTAAGAGTGGACGTGTCAGGCGTATGGGTCTATGAGATGAGGGTGGATCATATATTGATGAAGGGGAAAAGGGTTGAGTGGTGCACTTAGGATTCAGTGGAGACAAAGAACTTTTTCCGTGGAAAGCAAGCAAAAGAGGGGATGTATGAGGTATAGTTGTACCAACACTCTTGTATGGGTATGTAAATTCATGGGTGATGAATGTTGCAGCGAAGAGAAGGTGGAGGCATGGAGATGTCATGTCTGAGGGCAATGTGTAGTTGTGAAATATAATGCAGAAGAATTCGTAGTTTGGAAATTAGAAGATGTGGGCAAACCCCCCCCCCCCCCCCCTTTTATCCCAGAGGGCTAGAGGGGTTGTTGAGGTCGGTTTGGTCATGAGAGGAGGATGGAACAAAACCGAATGACTTCGAGAGTGTCTGTAAATCTGTAGTGGAAGGGATGGGCGCGGGTAGGGGCTCGGCCTAAGAAGGGTTGGATGGGGGAGGTTAAAGGAAGGTTTTGTGTTTGCGGCGGCATGGACTTCCAGCAAGCGTGAATGAGCGTATTTGATAGGATTGAATGGAGACAAATGGTTTCTAATACTTGCGTACTGTTGGGAGTGTGAGCAAAGTACATTTTATAAGAGGATCAGGGAAACCGGCCAGGCGGACTTGAGTCCTGGAGATGGGAAGTACAGTGTCTGCCACTCTGAAGGAGGGGTGTTAATGTTGCAGTTTTATTAACTGTGTTGTAAAGCACCCTTCTGGCAAGACAGTGATGGAGTGATGATGAAAGTTTTTCTTGCCTTGGTGGGTATCGGCCGATGTGTTAATAAAAAAATAAAAAATAATATATATATATATATATATATGTATTATATATATATTATATATATGTAAGCCTTATACCTTCTCACAAAGTGCTTGAGTCTGCCCAGGTTGACATATTTCCTAAGATGTGCACCTTCATATGGCAGCCCTATACTGCACGAATATGATTTTTACGAAAGTACTTAACCTTACTCTACAAGACGGGCAGTGGAACCAAACTACACTTCCAGTAAAGCTAGGAGGTATTGGTGTCCGCAAGTCATCACAGATTGCGCTACCTGCTTTTCTGTCCTCATGCGTAGCATCCAGAGCAGCATTCTCCCTGAACATCTTAGGGGCAAGATTGGAGTCCGGGACCAAAACTTCATTGACGGAGCCATGATCTGGGATAATCTAACGGGCTCTGAAACCAGACCTTCTCCCCCCAACAACTACAAACAGTCGCACTGGGATGGCCCGATAATGGAGAAAATAGCCTCAGCAATGCTTCAGAGTGTGTCAGGGAAGGATAGAGCCCGCCTCCTGGGAGTGAGAGCTCCTCATGCAGGAGACTTTCTGTTTGCTGTTCCCACTCCAGCCTTGGCACACGCCTCGACCCACAGACCATCCGCACTGGTGTTGCACTTCAACTTGCCGCCCCTATTCTCGGCGAACACAGGTGTATTTGTGGCAGTGAAGCAGCAGACCGATTCGGTACTAGTGTGTGCTGTAAATCCGAGGGAAAGAGTGCAAGATATGAGGAGGTTTATAACATTATCAAGAGGATCCTCACAACAGCCGGATGCCCAGCAGTAAGGGAGCCACCCCAACCATGCAAATTTGATGATAGCCAAAAGCGTCCAGAAGGTATCATCCTTCAAGCCTGGACAGACGGAAAGCAGGTGGTGTGGGACTACACATGTGCGTCTACCTTGGCTGATACTTATCTCCAATACACCAGGGAGGAAGGAGGGGCAGCTGCCAGCTTCAGGGAGTCCCAAATGTCTAGAAAATACGGAGAACTTGCCCATCATTATATGTTTATTCCCATAGGTTCGGAGACATTTAAGGACACCCTTAAGGAACTGGGCAAAAGACTCATCAGGGTAACTAGGGATCCCAGGGCAGCTAGTTTTCTGTTCCAGGCGACTCAGCGCATGGCAGTTCAGAGGGGTTATGCCTTCTGTATTTTGGGCACGCGCCCCAGTTTGAAGAGCTTGGATGAGATTTTTTTTTCGTTCACATTATAATCAGTGATAACTCGTAACATAGTACTATAATGTTGCTCACACATCTCATGTACTGCTACATGTCGTCTTTTTATCAACAATGTATCTCTTAATATTTTGTACCATATTATGTAATAAAATTTTACTATGGTAAAAAAGAATGAAAAGATGGGGTGGTAGGGAAGTGGAATATTAAATGACTTAGGAAGAAATCCAGATATTTTCTCCTTGAAGCCCTTTTTTATCCGCTTTAGTTTTATATTTATTTTTATACTATATTTATATTATATTATGATTATATATATATATATATTTATATATTTATGTATATATTACTATATATATGATATAAAGTTTACAGTATACTTTGTTTAGTGAATTTTACAGAAAGCTGAATTATTCCAGACTAATAAGCGTTTAATATTCATCGAAGCCAAATTATCAATCAAATTATTATGCCATTAATATAAACCGTTTAAAATAAGGCTAATTATGGTATTGAAATGCATTGCGAAGTTAGTAATGGTATTATGGTAATGGCAGCCGTGGGAGGTAACAGTGCTGATTTACGGATAATGGTGTTGAGGAGATTGTTAATGGCTTCTAACATGGTGGTGAGCTATGTTATTGTTAACAATAACAGTCATGGAACTGAAGATTAGAGTCATGGTAGTCAACGTAACAATAATGGTAATACAATGGTAGTGTGTATATACATACATGTGTGTGTGTGTGTGTGTGTGTGTGTGTGTGTGTGTGTGTGTGTGTGTGTGTGTGTGTGTGTGTGAAACTTACGACTTTGGCTTAAATAGCAACGTTCTTCTTGCCGAACAATCAAGCCAAAATTTGTTTAAGATATAATTTCGCAAAAATCATTCTGACCATTCTGAAATATATTTAGTTGGATTAGGCTAAATTAAATTGAGCTTGTTATAATAACGTTAGGAAAGTTTTCTAAGGTACTTTTGGTACAAAATTATTAATTTTTACATTAACATAAATGAAAATATATATTTTTAAAAGTATAAGAGAA